AATACATTCTTTCTAGTGCCCTTATGTTTCTGCTTGAACAGTGAGAGAAAGGAATGAAGAAGGAAGAGAAGATGGCGGCTTTGGGTGGAGGGAGGGATGGCCGGCAGCTCTGCTCTGCTCTCTGTAATTTGGAGGCTGTGTGTTCGCCAGCGAGCTGAGCGTAGCAGAGCCGGGCTGCTCTGTGCCGGGCCATGGATCTCTCATTACTCCCCACTTCCTCTCCTCGCGAGGGAGCCAAGCCGCCTCTTGGCAAGGGACGTAATTTTGGTTTTGGCCGCCCTCTGTTCCCCACCCTGTGTCATTATGCTGCGCAAATCGAAAAAACAGCACGCAGAGGCAGCGAATGGTGGAGCAGGATGGAGGAGACCGAGCCTCGCTTTGCGTGCGTTTTGAGTTTCTTTTTCGATGCTTTCTGTTCTGCTTGCGTTCAAAGGCAAAAAAGCATCAGCCGAACTTAGCTCTGGTGGACAGGAGGGTTTGAAAGATTTGGTTCTGAGCCAAAGCTGGAGAGGAGCCCAGAACAAGATGAACATTGTTTTGGTTTGGAGTCACTCTGTGGAAGTGGATTTTGACATTACTTGATGGAAGAAGCCATGAACAATATTGGGAGAGAATGTGTGAAGGGGAAAGAGGAAGGGGGGGTTGAACCCCTCTTTAGCTGAATTAAAAAAAGGGAGTAAGTGGAGACATATGCCCATAAAGCTTTGTGTGTTTCTGTTAGGTCTCTATAGTGCTGCTGTCTCCACCCTCCTGCCTCCTCAGTCATACAGTCAGTTTGTCCTTCGTGTACCCAGAAGTGAAGGGACGGTTATGTGTCTCATCTCCGACAGAATCAGCCCTTGAGCAATTTCACACTTCAGAGATTTAAGCAGGTTTACAATTACTAATAAAAAGAAATGAAACCACTGATCAGACCACACACAACTGGAACTGTTAGTCGCTCGTCTCTGTTTTTATTTAGTTCCCACGGTCTTAAAACCACAGCAACGTATGTGACTGTTCTGCTTGTCGGTCCATACGCCCTGCTTGTGTGTGTGTGTATGTGTGTGTGTGATTGGCTGGAAAAGACTCCAAGATGCAGATCTTGTGGGTGATCTTTTAACTTGTGTGTTTGCTAGAGTGATCTGATGACATTATCCCAGCCAACCTGGCACCCTGTTTCAAACTGCTTTGTGTTTATTTGTCCGGTCACCCTGGGAAATCAGGGATGCAGGGAGTGGTGGTTTGTGTGTGCGAGGGTCAGCTAGCTCAAGTGTTCGAATAAGAATCTCTGCAGGAGTTGTGAAGGAGATGCAATAATGTGCCGCGGTGAGAAAGTGCTGTGCTACAGCTTGGCGATAACGTGGCTCGAGATTGGAGGATTCTACGCGACTGATTCTAGGAAACGTTTTGTGCTTTTTATCTCAAGCTGAGGAGCACGTCGTGTCAGAGGAACGTTGTGTATTTGATGCAAGGAGTCCTGAGAAGAATCAGGTCGCAGACGGGAGGGGAAACATGCGCCATTGCTCCTCTTTATCTCCTCCCCACTGTGGCCGGATGGTTCATGTTAGAGATGGTGTGTCTGCAACTCATTCTCTCTATCTGTGTTTCTGCAAGGAGTCAGATCTGCAGATAGAGAAACCGTGCCACTCCCCTGTGAGGTTTTCCTGCCATCAAGGCTTATTTAGGTTTCCTGAGATGGGGGGAGGACTCAACAGCTTGAGTCACTTGCCACCCAAAAGCGTCACTTCCTCCCTTTCAGCTACTCAACCCACTGCAATCATCTGCTTGACCATTTATCTGTCTTACTGATGAAAAACCCACAGCATGCTTATTTGTTCTGTAAATAACACACTTCAGTAGCAGATTAACACATCTATTCGTGTTATTTGTTCACTAGATGAACGATGACGTGTACTAACACTGGCTTTTTTGTGGTTCAAAAACAAGACTACCTGCATGTAGCATGTCACGCTTAATTACAAGTTCCTGGTAGTGCATTAGCATACGTGGAAAAGCGTAAATTAGTGACTCACTTTCTTGAATTGGTACAGACTTTTGTCTGCGAAGGAGGAAAATATCTTGGTTTGTGGAGTTAAAAGAGAAGTGACTCCGTCAGATCTTTTTATTTTTATGTTTTGCTCTGCGCTCAGATAAAATGAATTGCGGTTGAAGTAGCTGAGGACGTCTCGTGTGAAAGATTAAAAATAATATTCCTACAGCATCGGTCTTGATGAGAATAGTTTGGTTTTGGTAGAAAACTGTTTTAAACAGTGAGGTCCAGATTCAAAAAAATAAAAATAAAAAACACAAATAAACCTGATTAGGGATGCTGCTGTTTTTGGTTGCTCCTAAGAATAAGACATAAGTAATCACGACCAAAAACTTGCAAGGCTGTGGGCGTCGCTTTGATGTGGGACAAAGAGGATTATGTCTGTAATTTTGCGTGATCACACAACCTTTCTCATTTGTTTCTCATTGAGTTTCCTGCTGCAGACGAGGTGAGGCAAACAGACAAAAGTCTTCAGAAAGTTTGCTGTCGAGGTCCTGAATCTTAAAAAAAAAGATCAATGAGATATTATTTTGTGTAGAAAAGTGGAGAAATAAATGGGTACACACACACACACACAATCACACACATCCGTCCAGGGTTAAAAACATACGGGACGGCAGAGAGAACAAAAGGAATGCCTCCAGGGTGACCCTTGACCTTTGGAATAGACTTTCCCCTGCTCGAGAGAGGGTGTTGACTTAGAAAATAAGGCGCCGTGAGGAGCCCACCCCCCCTCCCCACCTCGAGCAGTTCGCTTCACGTCTTCCTCATTCCGGTTTCCATCGGCTGTCTGATGACGGGGCCATTACAGATCTGAACCCAAAGAGGCACAAGAAAACACACAGAGAGAGGCGGCTCTCGGGGATCGATGCGAGACAGTTCTCAGGAGCCTCCTTGCTATTTACCGATGTTGAAAGTGTTCCGAACTGAAGGTTGAAAACTGAGTGTGTGACGGTGTCAAATCCAAGAATAGCAGCGACCTGGTGTGTGTCTGCGTGTGTGGAGTCAGACAGAGGTAATGATTAACCTTTCCAGACTGTGTTTGTGGCCCTAAGAGAAGTGTAGCGCCTCCCCGCCGCTCTCCTCAGCTGCCCTGCCTCACGTCAGCGTGGCATCTGCTCTTTAAAGCTGTGCACCGTTGGATCTAATCGTGTTTAAGATTTCGTTATTGTGCAGGACGTGAAATTATCTTAATTTGTTGCAGTTAAATGACACCATATGAGGGTTCCAAGTAAAAAAAAAAAACAGGTGGAATAAGCTGCATTCTTGCTAATATGCTCATATCATCTTCATCTCATTTATTCATTACAAAATCAGCCCTAAACACCCTGCATCGTCCTGTGATAGACTCAGTGTTTTGGCCCTCATGAGGGTCTTTCTTTGCGGTGAACCAGCAGGGAAAGTCTTTATGTTAAACGGTGGGGGGTTGCGTGTAGGGACCCCATGGGACAAACCCAGAATAGGACAGACCAGCAGTAGACAACTGACAGAAGCCGAGCAGAAAAGGTTAGGGTGACAGATGGCTGCAGGCTGCCAGCTTATCTCCAGCGAGGAGAAGCCTGAGACACAAGAGGGCTTAAAGGCCAGAGGAGCAGGTGGAGGGGCAGACAGATCCACAGACTAATGCTTCGATTGGGAGACAAAGCCCAGACATGTAGTGAGAGGGATGACTACATCTGACACGCACTTCCACCTATACTGGATGCACCTGAAATAGTGTCAGGCCGTAACAGGAGAAGCTTGACGCCTGACGAAGTGTTTAACATGATAAAACTCTGACAAACAGCCTTGGAACGAGGCGAGTTGATGCGGCACCACTCAAACGTGTGTTTTTATAAAAGTGTGTGCTCAGCGGCATTACTCGTGAGGCGTAAACTCATCTGCCGTCAGAACAAGCCGAGACCATCACTCTTCACGAGGCAGCACCCCGCCGGCTGAGGAGTCTGGCTGTCTTGCGTTCCTTCGGCTGATTTAATGAACGAGTCTGAGTTTTGTTTACCTGCCGGAGACGTTTCGGCTCAACAGAGGTAAAAGTGGCGTCGGGGATATTAAAACACCCGAGCCTTTGTTGATGTGTTGCGTCATGCAGAATGTGGACAAAGTAGTTTGTGGAGAAGAGCACTAAAGACTAAAAGTCGGAACATGTTGATTGAGCTTGTCTCTCCGAAGACCGGACCAGTAATGTTAGGTCTTTAAAACGTTGCGTTTATTTACTTAAAAGAAACCTAGTACTTTATCCACCACAGCTTTAATAACTTACCCTTTCTTTTTTGCTCCATCATGCTTTTTTTTCCTTGTCTGACTTCCCCCATTTTGCTTTTATCTTCCTCCCCCTTCTCTGTGCGGTTTTCTTGTACCACGAGTTTGAGTTTCTGAGAGGAGAGTCCATAAGGCGGGGGAAACGGGGCCGTTAGCCTGAATAGCAGAGTGTTTTCGAGCTGCAATGACAGGCTCAGACAGGCAGCCACTCTAATGACCTATGACGCCAAGCCCTGTCTCTCTCAGCAATAACACACACGCACACACAAACAGACACATGAGGCCTCACAGGTGAGCTCTGCCAGCACCCCCCCACGTGTCCGTGTCCTTATCAACCTTGGCTCTTCCTGTATGTGTAAAACATGCCAGTTTTGGAGACTGTCTGACATCTTCCTGAGACACACACACACACACACACATAAAAAAAACACTTTTGTCTCTTATCTCAAAGATGAATCCTCGTTTCCCCCCCTTCGTTTTGTCTAAGGTAGATAACCGAGTACTTAGTTTCCCTTAACGCCCCATGAGGACGGATTTACGATGAACTCCCCAAGGCTCGGCTCAGGCCAACTTCAAAGAACACAGCCCCTCTTGTTTTATGGAAGGCATGCTCTCAGTTTTGCTGGCCCCCTTCCTTTCCTTCTCCTTCTTCGTTTCTGTTCCAATGTTGTCCCCTCCTCCTCCTCCTCTCTGCAACTAATGAAGGCTAATGACAGGCCAGGCTAAGTCCACTTGGGCCAACCGAGCTCTTGCCGCATTAACGTTGCAGTTTGTCTCAGTCGGGACCTTCCAAATTACCGGTTCCATTCACAGCTACTGCCAAATGAAAAGGAAGGTTGAATGGGAAGCAATGGTGCAATTGAAATGTCTCTGAAAAGGGGCTCTGGTCTCCGTTTTGCCAGAGTGCTCCGTCTTTGCTTCGCTCATTTGGGCAAAATTTGACTGGTAGTGAATCGAGGCTCCCTTGTGGAGTTTCAAAGCACAAGCGATGGGTTGACAATCTGGAGAGGAAGCAAAGTTGCAAAAGTAACAGTCGAAATATGTGAAAAGCATTCCTTCTCCTCCCCACCCCACCCCCTCTCTGTCTCACTCGGTTTCCCTTGCGCCTGACTGGCTCCTACTTTGCTAGCTGGGAATAGCTGGGAGCCAGATTTCTGAGGAATAGAGATATGAAGGGAGAGAGTGGCGGCACAGGAGGCGCTCCAAACCGTGGGGAGGGGGGTGGAGAAACAGGAGGAGGAGTTTGGAAACTGGAGCACGGCCAACGCTACACTTCTTTTTACACTCAGGGGAAACTTTAGACTTTAGGCCTTGCTTGTCAACGATCCAGACACCAGGGTTCGAGAGTTAACATAGTTTAGCTGTTGGCGTGAAAGCCCCTCGCCGGTTATCTTAGCTTCATCTTTGTCAGTCAAAGATTGATTCTAATATTTCCTCCAGCAGGGTGAAGCGTGTTGCTGTAGAGACAATCAGGACGGGAGGTTGACGTCAGTACATTGTTGGCCTTGCCGCTGCAAAAATACAGCGAGCCAGACAGAAGATAAGCATTTAATGCCTAGATAAATATTGTAACTGCATGTGGAAACTTGCCTGGCAGTGTCCCCGAGTTGATTTTCTTGTCTAAAGTCCAGGAATTCCAATATGGTTTTTCTGTATAGCAGAAGCTGTGGATGACAGCTTCGCTTTGGCTCTTGACTAAAGCAAATTCTCAATTTCCCAAAGCAGGGATAAAAACAAAGTCATTCAGATGTAGCAGTGTTTATGCATAGTTGCTGCTCAGATTTAGATGACATCTGATCAGACATTTTTCATGATCTTTTTCCCCCCTCTTCTTATTTCTTCTTGATCTGTGCAGTTTTCCATCCAGTAATTTATTGTTATCATTCCGTCTTCCTCCAATCTAAGCATCTCTTATCTGTTTCCTCCTTCAGATTCTCTGGCGTTGCAGGAGTCTGGTGAGCGCGCCCATTGGTGTGTGGTGGCGTACTGGGAGGAAAAGACACGGGTTGGACGCCTCTACTCGGTCCAGGAGCCTTCTCTGGACATCTTCTACGATCTACCTCAAGGGAACGGCTTCTGCCTGGGCCAGCTTTGCTCCGACAACAAGTCCCAACTGGTGCAGATGGTGCGGGCCAAGATCGGCTACGGCATCCAGCTGACACGCGAGCCTGACGGCGTGTGGGTCTACAACCGAAGCTGCTACCCCATCTTCATCAAGTCGGCCACACTGGACAACCCGGACTCGCGCACGCTGCTGGTGCACAAGGTGTTCCCCGGATTCTCCATCAAAGCTTTTGACTATGACAAGGCCTGCAGCCTGCAGAGGCCAAACGACCACGAGTTCACGCAGCAGCCCCGCACGGGCTTCACGGTGCAGATAAGCTTTGTGAAAGGCTGGGGACAGTGCTACACCAGACAGTTCATCAGCAGTTGTCCATGCTGGTTGGAAGTGATCTTTAACACCCGGTAGCAGCAGCTTTTCTCCGTTCTTCACTCGGACCTCTTCACAAAAAAAAAATAAAGACTTCATCCGCTTTTGTCGTTTCTATCAGAAGAAGTTCAAACAGAAAAAAAAAGGATTTAAAGAAAGTATAAAATTCTGACGGACATTGTTTAATAAATGACTGAGATTTAATTAAATAAGAAGCAAAAAAATGTATTTTATGTTATATATATATATATATAAATATATTATTAATTGTAAATATGAAGACGTTTTATAAGCATCATTATTTATGTATTGTGCAATGTGTTGATGAGAAAAGAAAATAAGATGCACTTTGCTTAATATAAATACAAAACAAAGAAATGCCAAAATAAAAAAAAAATACAAATCATTTTTCTTGTCCAGTCTAATTCTTTATTGGAGGAAGGGGGTGAAGGCATTCACCTTAGCAATCTTTTGAATCCAGATCCCACTTCCTGTTTAATTCAGGGTCTTTTATAATCAAAGTCAACATTAGTTTAACTTGGTGCTACTGAGGGGCTTTGATGTCACACTGTGGATCTTAAAAGCAATTTCCTCCACGGCAAAATGAGTCAGACTGTGACAAAGCTGTAATTTTGTAGGGGGAGGCAGGGTGACTCCTACAGGCTCATTATGCTTTTTAAAATAATCTGTGTTTCCTACATTATTTGGGGATGAATGTCCCACTTCCTGTCTGTCATTAACTGATTCATGACATCACAGCCAGGAAGCACTAATGACAAATATCAGGAACCAATAAAGTCACCCACGAGAGTCCAGCTTCCTGAAGAAGTGTCTTTTGTTCAAGTGACTGATAAGAGAAAGGAAAGTCACGTTTCAGACTAAAAGAATTTCGTGCCAGCGCTGAGGAAATGAAGACATACTGGAAAATTACAAACTGATATCAGGAGGATTGGGTTGAACACGATGGCCTATTACACGACAGCTTGGATCTCTATAAACTAGACAAAACAGACCTCTGACAAACATTTTCTGTGTGTGTGTGTGTGTGTGTGTGTGTGTGTGTGTGTGTGTGTGTGTGTGTGTGTGTGTGTGCGTGCGTCTGGGCATCGTCCTCTTACTAGTCAGATGGGTGTCTGCGAAGAGGATTACTGCTGTAAGCCTGCTTTATCCACACAGTCTCAAAGTCCTACAACCCCAATTCCAGTGAAGTTGGGACATTGTGTAAAACAGTTTTCAATAAAAAACACTACAAAGACAAGATATGTAATGTATAAATAGATAACTTTATTGTTTTTTTTTTTGCAAATATTCACTCAATTTAAATTTGATGCCAGCAATACATTCCAAAACAGCTGGAGCGGGGTCATGTTTATCACTGTATTACATCTGCTTTCCTTTCAACAACACTCAATAACAAGAGTTTGTGAACTGAGGACACTAATTGTTAAAGCTTTGTAGGTAGAATTCTTGTATTTTGTGCTTCATAATGCGCCACACATTTTCAATGAGAGCCTAGGGAGTTTATTTATTTATTTATTTATTTATTTACTTATTTATTTACTTATTTATTTACTTATTTATTTACTTTTGGATGAGTTGTACATGAGTTACTTTGAATTCATTAGAAAGGTGAATGTGTTAACACCTTTAAAAACCAAAAGGTTGGGACGTGACTATTACCTGGATTTTGAATTTTTCACCATTGTGTGAAATAAGTCACCATTGTGACCTATTTCATTTTCTTTGACGTGTGTTCTGGTATTTGTCCTGCTCTGCTAAGGCTTACATTTAAAACATCACATGAGAATAATAAGTAAGAGTAATGTGTGTTTGTAATTTACAGGAAAAGCTGGAAAACTTATATTTTAGTGGTTTTATGTGTTGAAAACAGCCCAGATTTAGTAACTGAGTGGATGTTTCTTACACTAAAATGCAGCAAATAAATGTCAGTTCCATGTAGTTGGAGCTGACAGAAAGTCTTCTTGACAGTTTGGCTTTTATTGCCAAAACTTATCAAATAAGTCCTGTTCATTAGCAGAATGTCCATTAGAAGATCAACAAATCTTCAGCAGATTTGCCAAAGATTTGAGAAGTGACGTCTTACAGGACCAGTTTATGTGTTTACTGTGAGTGCGTCCTTAAGGCCTGAGTACAATTAGAGGGATGGTTGGCCTATTTTATGATGATTTATCACAGTCATTTGTCAAAGATTAATATGATAGAATTTAATGTCACAACTTCTTTTGTAGTTTTGTTCATATTCAGGGTCATTTCAGGCTGTATATGCTTTTCAACAATCCATCTCTACTACAAGTTTATGTTGTATTTGTTTTGTCTTGTAGACTATTTACCATTACCTCCTTGCACGTTTCTGCATGTGGGGGTGTGACGCAAAGTCCCAAACTATAGCCCCCCATCCCCCTCTTCCTCCTCCCTGGGGGAGGCATGTATAAGACACAGTCTGTCCAACTGCCAGCTCCCAGCAGGAGGTGGACGGCTGCAGCTCAGGAAGGGAGGTCATGGAGGCAGTGAGGTAGGGACAGTCCAGCCATGTTCACAAGCTGGAGTGTTAAAGATGAGGACAGACACTTCATGTGCTGATTTAGCCTCAGCATGGCCTGCATTTGTGCTTTTGTCCTAACCATTAGTGAAATTATCAAACAAAAACACAACATGAATACTTAAATCAATTGCTGAAACACATGTTGACACATTCACGCCATATTACAAGTTGATGTATTTAGGATTTTTATGTGAGTTGCTGTCATTTAAAGGATTTTATATTAGCTGACACTGGCAAGAAAACTGATTGTTTTATAGTCTTTTATAATTCTTGGAGCACAGTACTTTCTAAGAAACCTGTACTGATCTGTTGACAGAGGCAGTCTCACTTTTTCTGTGGCCTTTCTGCAGGTTCGAACTCAATTGTAAGTACCTATTTAGTTTTGTTTTGTTTTAGTTGAATAGGTCATAATGTTAGTTTGCACAGGACCTGTGCACTAGAACAATGTGAACTTTATCATCAATCTCAGTAAACCAAGATTAACATTTAGTCAAGTTTTCCTCACTTCTTTGTAGTCAGTAGGTTAAGAGATATTTTTTAAATTTGATCTTTTTTTGAGTGAGAATGTGTGGAGTATCAATAAGTAGTTAGTGTTTTACCTGCAGCAGTCAGGATGATCTGAGTGGGGTGTGGACGTTTGGACAGCCTTGTCAATTTTCCTAATTTACCTTTATGAATCATTGATTGTTTGGATAAAAAATCTTAAATATATCATATATGGGACAAACACAGTGATATTTGAGAAGTGAAATGAAGTTGATATGATTTACAGAGAGTGTGCAATAATTGGCATGTGCATAAATTGGGCACAAAAAAACCTTAACTCAATATTTTGTAGATCCACAGTTTGCATAAATAACAGCATCTAAACACTTCCTATTATTATTATTTAACCAGGCAAGTCCTGCCGAGATCTCAGATCTTTTTTTCAAGGGAGGCCTGAGCCTGAAGGCACCCTATTGTAGACTACATGTTTTTTGGGGGTGGGGGAAACAGGAGTTCCCAGAGAAAACCCACGCAAACACAAGGAGAACATGCAAACTCCACACAGAAAGATGCCAGATCCGAACCGGGGATAAAACCCAGGACCTTCTTGCTGTGAGGCGTCAGTGCTAACCACTGAGCCGAGAGTGTGGATTGTGGCTGAAGGTATTTTAGACCATTCTTCTTTACAAAACATCTCTAGTTCATTCAGGTTTGATGGTTTTCAACCACAGACAGCTCAACAGATTTTCAATAACATTCAGATCTGGGGACTGAGATGGCCATTCCAGAACGTTGTACTTGTTCCTCTGCAGAGTTTGTGATGACAATGACTCTCTGCTATTACATCACCAAAATTTAGCTCATTATCTGTTAAATTGAACTGAGTTAGACTTTTTGTGTTTGCTAAGGTTAGCTGTGGTAGCGATTAGGTTGACTCCAATTAGATGTTTGTGAGATATTTTGCTAACAAACATAGAAACAGAATCCTTCATTTTTGTTTGTCTTTCATAGCGGCTGGCAGAAAAGATAGTCACTCATAAGGAAAAAGACAAAATAAAACCAACATGTAACCGTAAAATCAACCAATGTAAGATTTAACAATGCCATTCTGATCCATATAAGATCTCCTGCAATCTCTAATTTAACTTTTGTTACAAGCTGCTGCAGCATCTTCATGACAGCATTTAGCCCAAACCGATGTCGCAGGGGAGAGATCTTCAAAAGTTATCTTTCACCAAAACTCCGATAGGTAAACAAGTCAAATGGCATTAATAATTTGTGAAATATTTATTTAAAGCAGCTAATTTATCCTCGGCAGTCAGAAGCTGAGATCCTCTTTGCCAGATGAAACAGAATGAGTCATTGTTTGATGAATATCTTGCGAACAAATTATGCCCCCCCCCACACACACACACATACACACACACACACACCACAACCCATTATTTTTGTCTCTTCATAATAAAACTCTGTGCAGCTTAAGAAGAAGCATCTCTCAGTCTTTGGTGAAATACTTGGGTGATTGTGTCATCATTTAGATTTGTATTTTTCATATTTCACATATTACTCCCTATACTCTCCCACACAAATCATATTACAGTAAATCATCAACCGCCCCCCCAATGCCCCCGTCTCCTTTGTATTGTATAGGATCTATGTGTTATTAAGACAATAAATCAGGAAAAACATCCCTAAATATAAACTATGAAGTGTGACTAATAGGTGCAATATTGATATTAAGACCGGTAAATGATGACTTTAGTATCCTTCATGTTTTCTCTTTTCCAATCACATTAACCAAGAGGAATTAATTGCATTGTCCTTTCTTGCGTCAGGGGTCTCTCTCCCTCAGGCTCAGACACATGTAGCTGTACGTCATAAACAGGGTTCTGTTTGTTGAGGCACACAAACTGCTGATCCTGAGCTGTGCAACATGTGGTCACAGCAGCTGATTGGACGTCTAGCCATCCGTCTGCGGCAGCATTCCTTCCAGCAGGAGGGTGAACCCACCACCATGGCTCTGCTTGGCAGTTTGGTGTGAGGTGACAAACGCCTCCATGTGGATTACAGCCCCTTCTGTTATTTTACAACCAGGT